GCTACCTACCCACCCTAACCCTAATCGGAAGAACTCAGAGAATGGTGTCATAGAGATTGCAGCCATCCTCCAGAGCCATGGCTGGTGGTAATTCGATGGCAGCCGATGGCAGCCGTCCCGCGAGGCCGGGGGCGGCAAGCGCGCAGCCATTTGTGCGTGTGGCGGGGGCGGCGGACGGCTGCCATCGAATTATCACCAGCCATGCTCCGGAGGATGGCTGCACTGACTGTGCCCCAGCCATAGTAGATGGCTGAAATGGCTGTCCCCCAGCCATCTTTCTGGAGGATGTGGCTGCACTGCAGCTAGCTCAGCCATCCTTAGGTAAGATGGCTGTGAAGGAGCCAGCACAGCCATTCTGTGTCATTTTCCGAGGTCAGCCCCTACTGAGTACCAGGCTCTTAGGTAGGTAGGCTCTTGGGTGGCGTGCCCACTCACTCTTCACAACGAACTGTCACACAACTCGCGCTAGCCCGACTGTTGCCGCAATCGCGTTCGCCCCCCCACGCCCAGGGCGTGGACCATCAGCTACCATCAGAGTCATCCTCCTCCTCCTCTCCCCTCTCCCCGCCGCGCCGCTCGCCGGCCGGCTCCACGCCCGCAACCGCCACGCGGCCGGCTACGACATCGAGCGCCTGGCGCGCTCGTTTCCCTCGCTGCGAGAGCACGTGATACCCGCGAGCGGCCCTCGCGCTCGCGCCACCATCGACTTTGCCCGTCCCGGAGCCGTCGGGGCGCTCAACGCGGCCCTCATTGCCGTCGACTACGGGATCCGCGGCTTTGCGCTGCCCGACGGCCGCCTGTGCCCCGCGGTCCCCGGCCGCGCAGACTACCTGCACGTGATCGCCGACCTGCTCGCGGCCGACAACGGCGGCGGCGTGCCGCGCGGTCCCGCCGTCCGCGGCCTCGACATCGGCGTGGGCGCCTCGTGCATCTACCCGTCTCCTCCGCCACCCATAGTACCGCTTGGTCCTTGTCGCCAGCGACGTCGACGAGAGATCCTTCTCGTCCGGCGTCCGCCATTGCGCGCGCCAGCCGTAACCCCCTGGAAGTTCTGTTGCTCTCCCTTGGCCAAGCCCTTGCCTTGATAGGCCTGTTCGGCCCTCTCAAACGCCCGCGTTCCCTTTAATGTTCCTTTAACCC